TTCGTTCTTTCCGTGCAATCCTCCTTTAAGCAACAATTCTCAAAAAAGGTGGTTTACTTCTCGCTATGGTTTCTCTCCATAGAAGATCTCTACCTCATTTTTTCACATTGATCTGCGTCCATAGATACATTACTTTCCGAAGTTTTGATTCCCGTAGCAGTTTTGGTGGAAGAGCATAGTGTTAGCTCCTTACAGTACGCTGCTTATCCCGGTCGAATAAAAATCAGGGCTCCTCACAGCATCACATCCTGCTGAATCTTTTAGGGGATTATTCACAACGGGTTCCAAAATTGTCGCATGAATTGACGCATCGAGAAGTTCTTGGGAATATTTTGTTATATAATCTCATCTTTATGATAGTTTGAAAGCAGTTTTGCCTTTGCCATCACCTAAAGTATTTCGAAGGATGATATCTAAGAAATTTCGTCAGGCAAATATAAAAGGCAGCAGAAAAACATGCATTGAAAGTGTGATTTTGGGATAGTCAGAGGGAGTATTTCCAATGAAATAAAGAAAAGATGATGAAGAATCGTTGCTGTATCTAGTTGAGACTGTGTTGTTATTGCTCACGTGAATTACATTTCCACCACAGTGCCTTTTTTGAAAACATCATCAGATGCAAGTTCCTGAGCAATTTCTAAGCTAATATATCATTATGCGAAGCTGCGTACATGGGCCACATTTCCAGGAGACTTGCGAATTGGTGATGGAGTCCATGGAGAAAACCTACTGCTTCAACTGGTGGTAGATGAGGTACGGTACAAATTTTTGCAATGCTGTGGGTGAACGGGAAAAGTTCAGTTCTCCTCCTGGGGTTAGGTCACCGGTGTTGTGCGATTAGTTGAAACCTGAGGTTAAGCTTGAGTTTAGGCTCAGGCTTAGGACCATGCTCACACATTGGCATATGCTCAAGCCTATGCGGGGCCTAGCCTCAAGAATGTGCCTAGGCTTTGTCCTAAGCTTTTCGAGCAAGTGAGTGGGTACCGCAATTTCAGGTGACCTGATCCAGGGGTGGGGGAACTGGAATGCACCCTGTGTAAGCGTACGCATTCCATTGCTTCCGTGATGCAGAGTGGTTGAGCTTTCACCACTGCATAGCCAATAAACCAATTTTATAAAAGTCAGATAATCGCCTGGAACCCTGCAATCAGCTCTAAAAGAAATCCTCCACGGAGAAAGCTCCGCCCTCATTACCACAGAAACGATACCTTAAAGGACGAATTCACGATGAAAAAGCAACCCATTTCAAATTAACCTAGGGATGGTGAGTGGTACACGAAAGAAGGAAGAACCATGAGAAACGGCCCAGAACCCGAGAAATGGGACCCCTTCCTTGCCCGTTGATTTGAGCATTGATGCGACTCTCATCGCTGTGCCCTCTTCAACACTACGCTCTCTCAGCTATCTAATCACTCGCCACGTATTGAACTACGGCGAGTGATCAGATGATCGGTGGGCGGAGATCGCCGGACCCGCCAGCTTTGAGGCATGATAGGTCGCCGAGGTCAAATTTTTCCATGCGAATTGCGCGTCAGTTCGCACCCTCAGGAGGTCCGTGGGTCCCTCAACTAGGTCAGTTTCCCTTTCTTCGACCTTCATTCTAATCGTGAATTCCTCCCGCAGCTCCAGTG